CACTCGACTATCTGGACACTTGAGTTTAAAGGCGCATAACTCAAAACGTAGAAATGCTAGAAAAATTGTGTCAATTAAAAAATTATTTCAAATTAAATTTGCTACAATTTTCCAGTTGACAACTTTTTTCTAGCGCTTTTAGTTTTCAAGTTATCCGCCTTTAAAACCTACAGTGCGAGACGCAGAGAAACGAGGCATTCTCGTTTCTCTGCACCCTCTTACTTTCTTATACTCTTCCGTTAAAAACGACGTAAAAAGTCAGCTGTCCGATTTTTTAGTTTTTGCAGAAACTCTAACAATTTTTGAAACTTTATCCCTCTTTTTTGCTCTCAAAAATCTTTGCTCTTTTTTCGTCATATTTCTTTTCTTTGAAACAATGGAAAATTGGAAAATTTCAGATATTCTGAATTTCTGAATTTCTCAAATTCTCAAATTCTCGAATTCTGTAACTCTGAAGTTCTGAATTTCTGAATTTCTGAATTTCTGATTTTCCGAATTTCCGAATTTCTGAATTTCTGAATTTCTGAATTTCTGAATTTCATAGAATTTCTGAATTTCATGGAATTTAGAATTTCCAAATTTCCGAATCTTCTGACTTTCTGAATTTCTGAATTTCTGAATTTCTGAATTTCTGAATTTCTGAATTTCTGAATTTCTGAATTTCTGAATTTCTGAATTTCCGAATTTCTGAATTTCATAGAATTTTGAATTTCATGGAATTTTGAATTTCCAAATTTCCGAATTTCCAAATTTCTAAATTTCTGAATTTCTGAATTTCTGAATTTCTGAATTTCTGAATTTCTGAATTTCTGAATTTCCGAATTTCTGAATTTCATAGAATTTTGAATTTCATGGAATTTTGAATTTCCAAATTTCCGAATTTCCAAATTTCTAAATTTCTGAATTTCTGAATTTCTGAATTTCTGAATTTCTGAATTTCTGAATTTCTGAATTTCCGAATTTCTGAATTTCTGAATTTCTGAATTTCTGAATTTCTGAATTTCTGAATTTCTGAATTTCTGAATATCTGAATTTCTGAATTTCTGAATTTCTGAATTTCTGAATTTCTGAATTTCTGAATTTCTGAATTTCTGAATTTCCGAATTTCTGAATTTCTGAATTTCTGAATTTCTGAATTTCTGAATTTCTGAATTTCTTAATTTCTGAACTTCTTAATTTCTGAGGTTCTGAATTTTCGAATTTCAGAATTTTTGATATTCAGAATTTCCAAGAATTTATGAAGCACAGTACAAAAAAACTTGGTCCCGGAACTAGAGAAATCCCTGCAAAAGAAAATCACCAAAAAATCATGTGCCCTCTTTTTCTCACTAGCTCTCTCACTAGCTCCAATATCACCAACCTGTCCCTTTAAATTCCTGAGTGTTCAATTGCTTCTTTCATCACATTTGCTGCACTTTTTGACTCCTCTCTCTCTCTCTCTCTCTCTCTCTCTCTCTCTCTCTCAATAGAAATGATGAAGAAGAGAAGAAGATTGTAATTCAATTTATCCACTGGACCCCCATCCCCTTCTTCAACAACAACAAAAAGAAGACCCTTTGCTCTCTCTCTTTTCAAATTTCCCGCCCCATTTACTCTCACTTGCCCCTTTCAATCCGCTCAAATTTCCTTCATTTTGTGACACTATCTTTTTCGGGGTTCCTTATATTTGAAAATTACTAGAAATTCTCAAAAATCCCTTTAAAAAGTACTTTAGCTCTGAAAAATCGGGGTTTTCCGACCCCTAGAAATCCTAATCGAAACTTTCCAATTTTTCTGAAAATTTCAGAATATACTAAACAAAACTAGAGCTTCATTTTTGTAGTTGACAACTTTTTTTGTAAAATTCGAACCTGAAGAGATATGCCACGTGGAAGCGGCGCCCCCACCTTGACGACGGCTCGCGGGAGCCGCTCGCTTCCACGTGGCATATCTCGACAGAGCGCGTTTGCATCAAAAAGTTGTCAACTACAAAATTAAAGCTCTATAGTTGTTTAGTATACTCTGAAATTTTGAGAAGTATCGAAAACTGGTAAAGTGGTTTTGTAGACGCTTAAATCTGGTGAGCCTTTTGTCCCGATTTCCGAGTGTCCGGATGCCCGAATTTTCCATTGAATTCGTGTTTTTTCTGCCACTAAATACTTTTTTTTTCAATTCATTTTTGTCCCTTTTATTTGCTCATCTGGAGAGCCATTCCATTTTTTGGAATCTCATTTTACTTTTTTCTTTTTTTCTCTCCGTCTCTCTTCCCCTTCTTTTTTTCAGTATGCTATTTTAAAAAGGCTATAACTCAAAAACTGGAAGAGCTAAAAAAAAGTTGTCAACTACAAAAATAAAGCTCTGGATTTGTTTTATATTCCCTGAAATTTTCAAAGAAAACGGACAAGTACAAAGCTAATTTTTTGATACTCGAAAATTGACATTTTCTGGATTTTTTAGTTCCTGGTCGATAGTTCAATTTTAGTTTCATGTTTTTGGTGTCATTCGAAAAGAAATTCCTATTTTTCAATTTTCTTCTATTTCTCTTTTTTCCACTTTTCGAAAAATAAAGTGAAACTGGGAAAATCAGATTTTGGGAACGGAAATTTAGTGTGGTCCACTACTAAATTTCTTTTTTTTTTCTTCAGAAATTCAGAAATTCAGAAATTCAGAAATTCAGAAATTCAGAAATTCAGAAATTCAGAAATTCAGAAATTCAGAAATTCGGAAATTCAGAAATTCAGAAATTCAGAAATTCAGAAATTCAGAAATTCAGAAATTCCGAAATTCAGAAATTCAGAAATTCAGAAATTCAGAAATTCAGAAATTCAGAAATTCAGAAATTCAGAAATTCAGAAATTCAGAAATTCAGAAATTCAGAAATTCAGAAATTCAGAAATTCAGAAATTCAGAAATTCTAAAAAACAGAAATTCAGAAATTCAGAAATTCAGAAATTCAGAAATTCAGAAATTCAGAAATTCAGAAATTCAGAAATTCAGAAATTCAGAAATTCAGAAATTCAGAAATTCAGAAATTCAGAAATTCAGAAATTCAGAAATTCAGAAATTCAGAAATTCAGAAATTCAGAAATTCAGAAATTCAGAAATTCAGAAATTCAGAAATTCAGAAATTCAGAAATTCAGAAATTCAGAAATTCAGAAATTCAGAAATTCAGAAATTCAGAAATTCAGAAATTCAGAAATTCAGAAATTCAGAAATTCAGAAATTCAGAAATTCAGAAATTCAGAAATTCAGAAATTCAGAAATTCAGAAATTCTAAAATTCAGAAATTCAGAAATTCAGAAATTCAGAAATTCAGAAATTCAGAAATTCAGAAATTCAGAAATTCAGAAATTCAGAAATTCTAAAATTCAGAAATTCAGAAATTCAGAAATTCAGAAATTCAGAAATTCAGAAATTCAGAAATTCAGAAATTCAGAAATTCTAAAAAACAGAAATTCAGAAATTCAGAAATTCAGAAATTCAGAAATTCAGAAATTCAGAAATTCTAAAAAACAGAAATTCAGAAATTCAGAAATTCAGAAATTCAGAAATTCAGAAATTCAGAAATTCAGAAATTCTAAAAAACAGAAATTCAGAAATTCAGAAATTCAGAAATTCAGAAATTCAGAAATTCAGAAATTCAGAAATTCTAAAAAACAGAAATTCAGAAATTCAGAAATTCAGAAATTCAGAAATTCAGAAATTCGGG